CGAGGATGAAGAGTGTTTCCCGTAAATTTACCTTGTGTTCTGTATCTGTGAATATCCATGACAACTTTCTGTTTGCATTGGCATCTACTACTAGCACTTCATGAAAATGCAGAGATCTCTTGTTTCATAGAACTGATCCTTAATTTTGCCACGCTTTTTGCCAATGCTAATAATGTAGGTATATTTTACTATGTCGTAATTTTACTCGTAACTGTAGTTGACCGTGTTTCCATGTTTATTTTTTAAAATCAAATTTATTTATTGCTACGCTTACTAAGAATATGCCTCCCCCCCCCCTCAACAGAAAAAGTTTTATGGTAAAAGAGCTGAGATTAGCAGGGTCAGCTGATTTTAATAAAAAGATGCACATCTGCACAATAACGGTCATTTAGTGCAAGGAGATTATAAACAAGACGGACAGACAGAAACCAAAAGCCACACCTACTACTTATTTGTTTACCGCCCAGGCAAAGCTGTATCATGTATACTCTCTCTCTATGTCTACTGCCCACACAAAGCTGTATCATGTATACTGCTGTAAGATCTACTCCCTCTATGTCTACCGCCTTGGCAAAGCTGTATCATGTATACTGCTGTAAGATCTACTCTCTCTATGTCTACCACCTTGGCAAGGCTGTATCATGTACTGCTGTAAGATCTACTTCCTCAACCACACAAAACTATATCATGTATACTGATGTAAGATCTACTTCCTCTATGTCTACTGCCCACACAAAGCTGTATCATATACTGCTGTAAGAGCTAGTTCCTCTATGTCTACCACATAAAGATCTACTTCTTCTAATAATGTGTCACAAAGCAGTGGAATCAAGCGCTCGTCAGTTTTTGGGCATGAGGAGTTTTTGTTACCGTCTGAAAGCTTGTTCATTTGCCTTTCTTTCAATGAAAAATATGCCCAAATATCTTGAATGGAAGTCGAGATCTTTGCGATTGAACAAGGTGGTGTCACCTGGTTTCAGTAATAAAATTAGCGAGAAAATACTGCCAAAGTTTGGAAACTTTAATAGCTTGAGAGTGCTTGAAAACTGCAAAATTACATAATTTTGTACCTATAATCAACGTTTTTCCACAAAATTTACAGAGAAATGTGTTTTTATATTATGGATATGAAAGGTGTTGAGCCAAAAAACAAAAATTCGATAATAATTGCCAAACTGGCAGAAAAATGCCTGTTTTTTTCCGATTTCATTATTTTGTCGAGCGCCTGATTTCACCATGATGTCTTACCTACGTCTACGGCCCAAGCAAAGCTGTACACTGGAACTCGGATTTAACGAAAGGGGATTTCCCCGTCTTTCTTGTTCATTACAGTCAAGAAAAATAACTGAGTTCAAACAAACCCATAATAAGCAAGCTCGCATTCGACGAGTTCGCTTACAGGGTGAACAGTCTCCGATGATGTGGCTTCATTCATTTTCCTTCCGCAACGAGCCTTATCTGTTCCTGGAAATCATCCATGGCACCTGCATTGTGAACCATTTTTTGCTTAGACTATCATTTATATTTCTTATGTGACCAATCAGCGGTCTTCTTTCATACCAATACAGGCATCGGGGTCAGACGGACGGCCAGCACATGTGTGACTGTTTGCACAAGTGGTCCAAGCATTGAACGTCAGTAGAGATACAAACGAGTCGGTCAAGCCATCCCACCCCCCCTCCCCCCTCCCTTTGGCTACTGACCAATACATTGTATTACACTGATAAGCTGGTTTTGACATAGATCTACGAAATGAGTAGCGTTTGTCTGAAGAATCAAACTTTGCCATATGCTAGGCTCTCTACAGCAGCACAACTTGTTCGGCAAACAGTATATTATAGATGACACAGGCGTGTATTTGAACGAATCAGCCCTTTGGCACAGTGTGTACTTGGTAATGTTCAGTGCCTTTTCCTGGAATTTTCCAGCCCTTCATCGGTATGACATCAAAGAAATGAAAATGCTTCTCATTTGAAACCAATCTACTTTTGATTGAGGAAGTAAAAAAGAGGCAAAAAAGCAGGCATTTTCGGGTCGCATACCACTTGCGATTTTCCATTATAACACTACTTGCTCGGTGCATGTAATTATCTATTACCAAAAAACACCAGTTTGCGATAACAAACTCTTGGATTCAACGAGTTCCACTGTATCATGTATACTTCTTTAAGATCGTCTGTCAAGACGCTAAAGGCTGTCCGATCATATGACCTGAGCTTTTCTCTCTTCAGCTGATGAAGTGGATGATTCGTATCTGAACGCTCGGGCTGGTTCTGCAGAGCCGGAGGGCTATGTGAACATGGAGGTTAGTACAGGGAGGGGGATTCAGGGGGGGGGGGCATGTATTGTTATTGAGGAGGAGGAGGAGAAGGAGGAGGAGGAGGAGGAGGAGGAGGAGGATACAGGGAGGGGGATTTAGGGGGTGGGGGGTATGATATTTTTATTGAGGAGGACGAGGGGAGGAAAATGAGGAGGAAGAGGAGGAGGAGGAGAATGAGTAGGAAGAGATGGAGGAGGGCTATGTGAACGTGGAGGTCAGTACAGGGAATGGGATTCAGGTGGGCATGATATTGTTATTCAGGAGGAGGAGGAGAAAGAGGAGGAGAATGAGGATGACGAGGTTGAGGAAGAGGAGGATGACAAGGAAGAAGAGGAGGAGGAGTAAAAAAGAAGATGAAAAGGAGGTATTATTATACTAGCTGTCGAATGGGACTACTTTATAGAGGAGGAGGAGAAGAAGGAGGAGGAGAAAAACAGGATGTCAAAGGGAGTATTACAAGTACAGTTGATGCTTTTGGGCTTCAGTTCATCCGCATTGTGTATTAAGAAAATAGGCTGAAATCATCATCATTATCATCATCACATCTCCTTTTTCTTGTTTTGTTTTTCTTGAAGCATAACAATTTGTACCATGTTGGCACATTTTTACCTAACTTACAAATATTGGCTCCAAAATCGGGGACACGAGACAAAAGTTGAAAAAAAAAAAAAGAAAAGAAAATGGGCTTAATTGGTCGGTCAGTATAAAAATTTCCTTCAGTCCGTCCGTCCATTCTTCCCGGGGAGCAGGGAGCAAGGATTGTCATTTTTGTTGTTGTTGTATATCAGATTGTCTGACGGCAGCCGGTGGGTGCTTTTTTTCAGTGGGTGCCACCATGGTTTTGAGGACACTTGTTTTAATAAAAGGCTCAAAGAGAGGAGTGAACCATCTTGTAATTTACCATCTTTAGTAAAACATTAGGCATCGATTCTAGCAGTATCTATTTTTTTTTGGCTCCTTGATTGTTGTCAGAGATCCAAGAACTAAGATCAAAATGTTAACTCTTCCGTGGAGAAGTTTAAGAAGATAACGAGGATCTTTTACCCTCCCTCTCCTAACCCCCACCCCCACCTCACCCCCCCTCTCTTTCTCTCTCTCTAGGGAATCAAGAAAGAGGATGACACCCCTTATGAGAATGCTTAAAGAGACCAAGGTGTCTGCCTCGAGTGATGTTCAAGTAAATCATCTATAGTGAGGTTCAGAATTCCTGGCACAACTTATTGTAAAATATCTCCTTTACTATTGAACATAGATTCTACAACTTTTATACAATGACTTTCATCAATTTGGTTTAAATGATGAATATTTTTTCAAATACTTGGACTTGGTGTTCTAGAAAATTCCTTAATAAACACTAATAAAAAAATCTCATTCAATGGTTTCTACAAATTTTAAAAAGTTTACAACTGGGGCAATATCGTTTTTAAAAGCACGTCCGTAATTTTTTTCTAATGACGGTATTGTGCTTATTGAAAGCATGTTTTGAGAACCGTCAGTGCAAAAAATGTGTTAACTATTAATTAATTTCTTGTAACAAGTTTTGCTACTAAAAAGTCTCAATGATGCACTATGACGTAGGCCATACGCGTAAGCAAAATACATGTGAATATATGAATTGTACATATTACCTGTTGCTGTGCATCTTTCCAACCTTAAGAAAAATCAGTTTCCTTTCTCCCCGTTTTCAATCCATTCAATCCCAGCTCTCACACTTGCACCCCTTGTTTCTTCTATTAAACGAATTTAATTCCTTCAGGATGATGTCAGCCTTTCTGTTTGATTCTAAATCTTCAGGTTAACTGGAGAACTCTTTCTGTAGCTGGACCAGATCTTCTGCACTCTTTCTGTAGCTGGTTCAGAGCTTCTGTACTCTTTCTTATGTCAGTTTTTCTCTCCCGATGTTTAAATCTTCAGTACTGCTGGCTTACTTCTTTTGCTTTAATTTTGATCATCTCTCAACGGAGATTGGGGTTCAGGCGTTTATAATATTCTTCAGTTGTCTTATCAATAACATTTTCTTATAATTTCCGAGTAAATGTTATCGTAGAATAAAGAAGTATTCATTTTTTAGAACAGTGGGCCTCTCTTTTCCTTGACAAAGTTTAGTTCTACCATCACAGCCCTGTCATCTCCTCACTCCTCCTCTTTCGTCTGTTCTCTCACTATCTCTATTTCTGAGCACGTACTTTCTACCTCTGTTCAATCCTTGTCTTTCAACACAATGGTCATTTAGAGCTAGGAAAAAGTAAGACAGATAGACAGAAACAGTCTAGGGAAAGTAAAGAAATAGGACCTACCACCAGTGGCGCCCTCCACCGCCCTGCTTTACTACAGCATGCAGCTTTAATTGAGAGCTTTAATTGAGAGCTTTAATTGAGGCGTCTTGGTGAAATCAGGCTCTTGTCAAAATAATAAAATCAAGAAACCGACATTTTTTTTTTGTATTGGGCAATTTTTTCCCAAATTTTCTTTTTAGGCTTAACACCTTTAACGTTCATCTGTAAATAGCTTTCTGTGTAGATGTTACTGAAAAATCTTTATCAAAAGTACAAAAACATGTAAATTTACAGTTTTTAAGGATACTTAAGCTTTGGTTATCACAAAACTTTGGCAGCCATTTTCTCGCTAATTTAATCTCTAACACCAGGTGACCCACGCCTCCTTTAATCGCTAATATCTCCACTTTTGTTCCAGACAGATGAGTATTTTTTTCTTCAATAGCAAGACAGATGTACAAGCGCTAAGATGATAAAAAGATACCACTAACTGCATATGTCCATAATTGACGAGCGCCTGATTCCACTGTGTCTTAAAACATTCAAATTGTTGTTATTGCCGGTTCATTTGACACGTGAGCGAGTGTTTGCCTAACTGAACATAATAATAATAATGATAATAATAATAGTAATAATAAATAGCATTTGTATAGCGCATATCCCCTCTCGTAAGCAAGCTCTATGCACTTTACACTATATTACATATTATCGAAACATTCTGTTGCATACATATAATTATAAAAATAATAATAATAATAATAGTAACATTTATATAGCCCATTTCCAAAAAAAGTAGCTCGGTGCGCTTTACATTGGAATACCCATTTTCAAAACCTTTTTTACCACTTCCTTTCTTCTCATGCAATATATATTATGCACACACACTCACACACACACACACACACACACACTCACACACACACACACACACACACACACACACACACACACACACACACACACACACATACACACTCACACACACACACACACACATACACACACACACACACACACACACACACACACACACAGACTATTTTCATTCAGACGTAGGCACAAAACAACTATAATAAAAATAACGCTAAAAGCTTATGAAGGATAGGCTTGTAGGAACAGAAAATGCTCAAGATGTCTTTTGAAACTATCAAGTGTTCTTGTTTGTCTTAGTTCCATGGGTAATCTGTTCCACATAATTGGACCTATATATGAGAGAGATCTCTCTCCATATGATTTGTATGATTTTATGAATGTTACAAGTAGGGTGTTATTGTTTGATGATATTAGGTTTCTCCCTGGCTTATATGTACTGATAAGCTCTTATAGATAAAAAGGAGCAGTTTTATTTACACATTTGAAACACATGACACAGATTTTAAATATTATTGTCTTTCTTTTACAGGGAGCCAATGCAGTTCTTTAATAGTAGAGTGATGTGGTCTTGTTTTTTAGATCTTGTTATCAGTCTAAGGGCATTGTTTTGAATGTCTTGTAAATGATTCAAATATTTGTTTTTCAGACCTGCTAGGAGTGAGTTACTATAATCTAATCTAGATAGGATAAGAGATGTTACAAATGTTTTTGCTGTCTCTTCGTTTAAGTATTTTCGAACTAGGGCTATCCTTCTCAGCTGAAAATAAAGGGATTTGGACAGAGATCCTACAAACGAACCCATTGATAAGTGGTGGTCAATATATACACCGAGATTCATGACAACTTCTTTACTAGATGTCATATGCCCATATAAATCAATGTTGACACTTTCCAAATCATTATTTAATTGTGGATTATTTATAAGTATGATGTCTGTCTTTTCTTCGTTTAGTTTCAATTTGTTTACTGTCATCCACTTTTTAATTTCATAAAAACATTGTTTAGTGAAGTTGTGAATAGCATCTAAAACTGGTGGTTCTTTGATTTTCCTTCCATCCCGGGGTAGGAGATAAAGCAGTGGCTGTAGGTGCAAGGCCACAAACAAAAACCCAACTCCATCATCGAGAGATCATAAGAAAAATGAATGGGTATGTTGGTGTCTGTTGTATTATATTGAGAAGTTGTTTGAGGAGATAAAGAAGAGAAAGATGCTATTAAGAGCATAGTTTCTGTGTGTTGCTGTGTGTTGCTGAAATACAAAAATTATAATATAATAATAATAATAGTAATAATAATAACAACAATAATAATAATAATAATAATAATAATAATAATAATAATAAAATAATAATAATAATAATAATGCCAATTGGAAGCTAGATTCCCCCCCCCCCTCCCCAGAGCTACCAAGTCCTCTCATCCCAGAGATGGGGGCAGAGGAAGGCATGGCAGGTTCCAGAGGGTTAATGCTGAAATACAAAAATTATAATATAATGATAATAATAATAATAGTAATAATAATAACAACAATAATAATAATAATAATAATAATAATAATAATAATAATAATAATAATAATAATAATAATAATAATAATGCCAATTGGAAGCTAGATTCTCCCCCCCCCCCCTCCCCAGAGCTACCAAGTCCTCTCATCCCAGAGATGGGGGCAGAGGAAGGCATGGCAGGTTCCAGAGGGTTAATGCTGAAATACAAAAATTATAATATAATGATAATAATAATAATAGTAATAATAATAACAACAATAATAATAATAATAATAATAATAATAATAATAATAATAATAATAATGCCAATTGGAAGCTAGATTCCCCCCCCCCCCCCCCCAGAGCTACCAAGACGCAAATGGTCTCTGCACCTTCTCCGCAGTCATAGGGCTCTCCGATAAATGCATGCTTAATACATGTATGTAGCTGGGTATTCCCTACGTAAAGTCACATCCAGTACAGTGCTGACAATGAACCACTGCTTCCCACCGCACCAATACCCGTCCCAACTCCTGGTCAAAGAAAGATTGTCGATGGAGACAGGAGAAAAGAAAATTGATAATAATAATGAGAATAATAATAATAAAATGCAATAAAGTAAAACAATAAAAACAATAGATAGAAAGAGTAAGATACATAGTAAAGTAATATGTCTCTTTTCGGGGTCACCACTTGACCCGTTACCTTCCTCTTTTTCTTTTCCTATTCGAAGAGTACTAATCCCCCCCACCACGAAGAGGTGGGTCTATTTGGGGGGTTGTTTAGTTATAGAAATCATGTTTGGCAGATCTTGAATAGTGCCATTAACCTACTTTTGGGAATCGTCGGTGTAAAAATGATACTTCAATCCATGATTTCGTAAAATGCTTGCTAAGGGTTATGTATATAGAGTAAAGAGCACGGGTCCAAAAAAGCAGTACATATTACTATGTTTCTGTGATTTTATTATATTACATATTACTGTCACTGCAATTTGACTATATTACATTATATAACTATGTTACTGCGATATTATTAAAATACATTACTATGTTACAACAATCTTACTATATTACATATTACAATACTACTACGATATTTACATATTACACATTACTATGTTACTACAATCTTACTATATTACATATTACTATGTTACTGCGATATTACTATATTACATATTATTACTGTTACTACAATTTTACTATATGTGAGGCAGCGTGGTGGAATCAGGCTCTTGTCAAAATAATCAAAGTGAAAAACTTGCATTTTTCTGTAGGTTTGTGAATTTTTATCAAATTTTTGTTTTTTGGCTCAACGTCTTTCATGCTCATTAAAGAACTTATTTCTGTGTGGGTTTTTCTTTAAAATGTTGATTAAAGGCACAAAAAATGTAAATTTTCAGTTACTGCGGACTCTAAAATTAAGGAAATAACCATTCTTTGGAGGCCAATTTCTCACTAATTTTACCTCTGAAAACAGGTGACCCCCATCTTTTTCATTCGCAAATATCTCGACTTGTATTCTTGATAAATGGATATTTTTTTCATCCAAATAAAGACAAGTGAACAGGCTTTAAGATGATACCAATAACTCAAGTTGCCCAAAAATTGACGAGAGCCTGATTCCACCACGCTGCCTCACATATTACATATTACTATGTTACTATGATATTTACATATTACACTGTTACTACGATATTACTAAATTACATATTACAATGCTACTACGATAT